TTCTAAATCCCAAAACAGGGAGGAATCCACCCTTTTTGCCCCCTTCCCCCTGTCTTTCCCTTCTGTTTAGTGGCACATCCCCTCTCTTCCCTTCCCACCCCCCTCTCCTGCTTGCCACTGCTGTTGTCCCCAGCTGACCTGGCAGACAAAGGGGTGGGGAAACTCTAGGACTGCTCCTGCCCTACTCTGACCAGGCTGCATGGGGAGCTGGACTCAGCCAGGAATAGCAGCAATGGTAGCCAGGTTCCTCCTCCCTATCTGGTCCCCCAGGCAGAGAGAAGCAACCAGGAGCAGGCCCAAATACAGAAAAACTGACCTGCTGCTGCCATCTCTGCCATGCTACTGTCTGCAGCTAAGCGCATCTACCCATGCAGCTGCTTGCTGCAGACCTGGCTGTAGAGGGACAGGAGTGGCCAGGATGGTGGGGAGGGGGTGGGATATTGGCAGGGTTCTCTGTACTCAGAGATATAATGGGAGGAGGGACGGGAGATAGGAGGATTGGGAAAGGGTGCTCCTGGTGAACATGGAAGCTAAAGATGATAGTGCCAAAAGCAGGAGGAGGGCAGATTCTTTTCTGCCTCATGGACCTAAATCAGATCTCCAGCTGCTGCTCCCATGGTATGGTCTGCCCACCCTGGTGGGCAGTGAAGAGAAGCTGGGAACAGACGGTGCAGCCATTCCTACAGTGCTGGTCACTAATCCTGCATCTTCCTTTTAAAAGTCCTAGATCCACCTATGCTGACAAGTCTTCGGGCCTTTGCCCATCCTGTTCATTCTGTAGCTTTTGATACTATTGTTCACTCCATTCAGCATTATTCTCTGTTTTCCCTTGGCATTCATGGGACTCCTGTTTCTGGTTCTCCTACCAATCTTGCATCTTCAACACTTGAGATAGTTGTTTCTTCTGCTTCTTCCTATCTCCCTCTCTCTCTTCATCCTGCAGCCTCTCTCTGTTCATCCTTTCAACCTAAACTGCCTCCTTTTCTTTATCTTCCCCATAACCGTGTGTGACCTAGTTCCTCGCAGATTTACCTCTTTAATGTTGTCAACAAGGAAATCATCTTGTGGAGATTATTGGCACTTATTTGTTAATCATTATATGATTTCCCTATTCTCTCCTCTTCCTCTGACAGTTCTTCTGTGCTTTGACAACTCAGTCTTAATAGAGATGTAAAATTGTTTTTTGTCTTTCCTTCTAACTCTCTCCACCAGCCCATTTGCCATCCAAACCCACAAACTTGGGATTTTCTTTTCTTTTGACCTCCATATTCAGGCCTTCTAGCTGTGTCTTCCTCCAAAACATATTGAAGTTTTTTACCCTTTCTCTCTGTCCTGATATCTACCCCTTTTTCATGTGCCACTTTATTATTCTCTTGATCATTAAGAGATCTATCCTCCATCCTTTTTAACACCCACATTACCTTCTTCTCTAATCTGTCCAAAACATTGGTTGTAAAATTATTCTCCTCTACCATCCATCAAATGACATCACACACTCTTTTAAGCCATCCACCTTGCACAGTATTCAGTTGTCTTCAAGATCCCACACAGCTCTGCCCCAGCCTACATATTTGCCTGATACAGTGCTCCTTTTTCTCCCCACAACCACTTCACCTTACCAGTGGTACCAGCCTGTATGTGTCATTCATGTTCTTCACCCACCCTATCTCCATTACTCTCTTCCTGTTCAGGCCCTATCAACTTTGTGAACTATCATCCCCCTCAGCTCTCATTCTAACCTCTCATTTACAAATTCACTTCCACAATAACCTCAAATTATGAGTTCAATTACAAACATATAAATAGGTAATTCCCTCAGCCAACTCTTTTGCTGTGCCCTGTCTTCTTTACATCTTTTGGATGGTAAAATATTTGGGATGGAGGTGGTAGCTCTTTGTCTTTCATGGCACATTTGTATGATATCATTAATATCATTTTAATAATTATGTAATCCTAAATTCTGTGATATTATTAGAAAAGGATTTTCATCTAAATTATATAGCTGAAATGATTTGGCTATCTTCATAAATTTTAGAGTGCAAAACCATATTAAAGATATTTGAGAGCAGAAGAGACATGTTTACTCGTCAAGTGCATTTTTGCAAGATTGTTTTTAATGGTGTATACATCATTAAGTCACATTATAAATGACTCAAGTAAGGGAGTTTCACTTGGGAGATTCAACAATTCCCACAGTTTAATAAAGCAGGGATGCAGAGGAGTCGGTAAAGCTGTATAGTATTATTTGGAACTCCAGTGTAAGTCAGTGGTCTCCAGCCCCTTTAAGTAGGAGATCAGGTTTGACATTTAAAAGCAACCCAAAACCTACCCTACACCACTGCCACCCCCCTCCCCACAGTAGGTAACTGTAGGAAGGGAAGGGGAGGGGGAGAGATTGAGGCAGAGGGAGAAAAAATTATTTGGAGGCATGTCTCCACAGCAGCTAAGTCCTACCTGGCCTGGGCCCCACCCAACTTACCCCTGCGGCACTGTCTGTCACCATGGGGGCCTCAGTCTAGCCCCTGCACCTTCCCTCCCCCATGGACTGACCTGCTGGACTGGGGCGCATGCACGTGGGCACTCTGCCCCCACACCCCAGCCTTGAATCTACTCCAAGAGACTCCGTGATCTGCTGGTGGATTAAGATCCACTGGTTGGTGACCACTGGTGTAAGTGATCACTTTCAGGCTTTTAAAAATGCTTCAGGCCATGTCCATATTTGAGCAAATCAGTGAGCCCATCTTGTTTGAATATTTCAAATGCCATTTGTGATATTTTGAAATCTCCTTTTAGCATTGAAGGCCCCTTGATAAAGAACATTTCCTGCATTGCAGGAAGCTAGTGTGGGAGAATGAAATGTAGGCTATCCATGCTGACTCTGTAGAATATTGATAAACTGCTTTGGCTTCCTAGGGGTCAAGAGAAAATACTAAATATGTTCTGCTTAAATACAAAACAGGTTTTTGCAATGCTGACAGGTATTTAATGTTGTTTCAGAAAGTGTTTTCATGGCTGATTTTCTACTAGGTTTAATTTCTACAATTCATTAAAATATGAACACTTATCTGAAAGAAATACCTTAGTAATACAATTGCAGTACTAGTTGCTATGCAAGCCTCTCTACACTTCCAAGGAAACTTCAGACTGAAATAGTGTTCCAAGAGGCACAACACATAATGGCCCCCATGAAAATAACATAGCTGAGTGAGTCCTGTTTCAGTTATTTTGTAGCTGCAAAGAGATTGTATTACTCCCAAAGTCCTCTCTATACATTAACTCCCTACATTAAATCCCATTCAAATATTTTTGGAACATTAGCAATTCATACATTAGTAGTCCAGATACTGAAGCAACATCAAGACTTCTGATCCCTAGTCCACTAAATTTGTCCCTGGTGAAATCTAAATTAAGAGTATCTCTTGTCAGAACCATTGTTACTGCTCTACCTGAGCTAAAGGAAAATGTCTAATTGCCAGTTTGTTATAACCTGTACCATAAAACACTAAGAATCACTGTCAGGACAAACAATTCCAATCCAATGTCAATTTTCAAAACTATGTGCAAGATTTGGCAATACAAATCCGATTGACATTAGAAGGCACAATGATGCTACAGTGCTGCTCAGTGCTTTGGAAATGTATGGGGATACGTCAGAACAGTCTGTTATCAATGTAAAGATGTTTTTCTGGTAAATAGCTGGAGAAAGTAAAAAGGTCTGCCATCATCCCAGAGATACAGACTGTAAAACTGTTACAAGTTTGGCTTTGTTCTTCCAGCATCAGCAAATTTTATTATTTTTTTATTTTCTGTTCTTGATTTCATAATGTGTGCTTAGTGTTCTACAAGAAGGAAAAGAAAGTCTCATTCTTGCCCTGAGAATGCTTACAGTCACACAACAAATAGGACACAAAATTCACTCAAAGCCTGATCCAGTGTGCAGTGAAGTCAGCGGAAAAATTCCCGTTGTCTTCATTGTATTAAGTGACCCAGAAAATATTTCTATAAGAGCATGACTTTGTGATTTGAGGTCCACTGAAACAGCTTCCATGAGCACTTGTTTGCAGGACTGAGGATTAGTGGATCTATAGCACCTTTTTTAATACTGTGCATTATATAGCCATGGTGAACTTTACAGAAGAAAATATTTTTCTTTCTAGTTTTCAGGAGATATAACAGGTTCATTATGCTTTTTGTAATGTGCTAAATTACCCATTATATGATGCTATAAAGCCATGGGTAAAGGAACAAAAAATAGTTAACAGAAGAGGCTGATATGATTTATACCAAAAAAAATTTAAAAAATAAAAATAAAGGCAATTCATTTTAAAAATATGCAAGTTAATACCTATCATAGGTATTATGCATGTTAATATCTGTCATAAGGTAATACCTTAAATATGTCACATATTCTGTTGTTTTCCATTCTTTTAGGTATTTCTCTGCAACCTGTCTCTAACATAACTATATGTGTTAGATGCCTTTGGGACTCTCTTTACATCAGCCATGAAAGGATTATCTAGCAGCCGCAGTCATCATCATGGGGTTACCTGTGACCCTACATGTGACAGTCTGCCACATCACCCAGACAGGAAGCCATATTTATTAAATCCAGTGGACCCTCACCCTGCAGATCATCCTTATTATACTCAAAGGAACTCTTTTCAGGCAGAATGCATGGTGCCCTATAATGACCAGCTTGCTAGCAGCACATTTCCTCGGAGGCATTATAGCTCTAACCATGAACTGAAAGATGAGTGTGCTCTTGTTCCCCATGGAACTTCCAGTAAAACTAACCGCATCCCTGCCAATCTTTTGGACCAGTTTGAAAGGCAGTTGCCTCTTAATCGAGATGGCTACCATACCTTACAGTACAAACGAACTGCCGTGGAACATCGGGGTGATAGCCCAGGGAGGATCCGCCACTTGGTTCATTCTGTTCAAAAGCTCTTCACAAAGTCTCATTCTCTTGAGGGACCATCCAAGGGAAGTGTCAATGGTGGCAAAGCAAGCCCAGAAGAGACACAGACGATGAGGTATGGGAAGCGTAGCAAGAGTAAAGAAAGGAGACCAGAAGGGAAGCCCAGGTCCAATGCATCTGGGTGGTGGAGTTCAGATGACAATTTGGACAATGATGTTTGCGTTTATCATGGTCCCAGTGGGGTTATGACTATGGGAAGATGCCCTGATCGTTCCTCGTCCCAGTACTTTATGGAAGCCTATAACACTATTAGTGAACATACTGTGAAGTCATCCAGAAGCAATAATGATGTCAAATGCTCTACCTGTGCAAACCTGCCTGTGAATTTGGACTCACAGCTAATGAAGAAAAGCTCTTGGTCCTCTACACTAACAGTGAGCAGAGCTCGTGAGGTTTACCAGAAAGCTTCAGTTAATATGGATCAAACAGTGATGAAGTCAGAGACATGTCAACAGGAACGGTCTTGTCAATACCTCCAGGTACAGTATTTAGCACTGATTGCTGTTAACTATGCTGTCCCTTGTTGTTGGTGTTCTGGGTCCCCCCATTCTGGTCCTTCAGAGGTAATTTTTTTTCAGACTTCTAAAAGGTCATTTAAACAGAAAAGAGGATAATCAATATAAAAAAAATAAAACTGTATTTCCTTTCTAAAATTCACGGTTTCAAATGAATGCTTCAGGGGAGGAGGCTGATTTTTTTTATGTGGGAAGAATGAGAGCTTTCTGTGCAATCTTTTGGATTAAAAAGGCAGTCTCAGTGGGGGCACAGAGAACGGGAGGTTGCAGTGTTTGCATTTAGCATTACAATGTCAGCGAACAGGATGTTACCAGTATACAAATTCTTTGGTTTCTGTAATTTCAGGATTTGTCTTCATTTACAGCTTCTTTTATTATTCAAGCTTTGAGACCTTTTGAAAACTTTGAAATGTCTTAATTCTATGTACAGAAGGGAAACAACCTGCTGTCTATTCTTTTTTTGCCATCGAATATAAATCCTTACAAAACAGTTACTATAAAGTGTCCAGATTTGTGTATCTGGCTATTGCTCTTTTTGATGGCATTGATTCAAAAATACCAAATAGAAATGTTGAAATTATTGCTTGTTCTGATTATACACTTTAGGAGTACATCACCTACTCCCTCACAAGCTGTTTGCAGTTAATACAGCGTCACTATTTTTCACCAGTATTGTATCTTTAAATGTCAAGAATCAGATGTCTGCTCTTGGAGCTATCATACTGCCGGTGAATGGTTGTGGCAGAAACATGGATCCGAAAATTTTAAAACCATTTCATTCTTAGAAGAGCGGTGGATAGCTTTTTTGCATTTTAAACAAAGCAGTTATGGCACATCTAAGTGTATGTGTGAGATGGAATAATGTTACCCAGAGAAGAGAGAAGACCATGAGGAAAAAAGAGGTTTGATATAACTCTGTTTTTCTTTAAAATAATGGGACTACTGCCTATTTGTGCCTATTGATTTATTTGCTTATATATACAAACATATACAGCAGCCCAGTTTTATAATGTGGATACATTAATGAGGCATTGAGTTTCCACATTTTTCTGTTCAAGTCAGCACCTGGGCAAAGTGCAGGATTTGGATGCTTTGGAAAAGTACCCACATTTCTAAATTGAGCTCAGTAAGCATGGTAAAATGGCATATAAAATCCTTTATAATACCAACTTTTGAATTTCTCAGTTTTTAATGTGTAAACAGACATCCATGTTTTCTATTAATTTAGAGCAGAGTGGGGCAAAGGGAATGGGTAAAATGTGTATGGGCAGCATGTATGTACAGATATACGTGTAGAGTGGGGAGGGACTTCAGGCTGGAACAGAAAAATGTTTCAACTTTTTAAGATTTAATACACTAGATTTCTTGGGTGTCTTTAAAAGACCAGAAGAAATATAAATTTTGGATTTAATGGTTTAGATTAATTTGGACTTTCCGGGTTTCTTTGTTGTTTTTGTTTACTCTTTTAGCTTCTGGGCAGATTTTGATAAAATAGCTGACAATTCAGTTAACAACCAGATGGTTAGGAAAGAGTGAAAAACTGTGCCACCATCAGCTTCAAATGAACACCTCCACGGGGACTTTTAGATAATATTTAATTGACGGGAATTGGTTCTTGAAGAGGAATTAGAGGACATTATTTGTGTCTTAATGAAACTATACCCAACAGTCATGTAGGGCAGAAATTAAAATAACTAAATGTTCTCTTCTAAGTTTGCCATTCTATTTATGTCCAAATTTTGTTTTGTGTTTGTTTTCCTCCACAACCCCTGCCAATTATGTGGATGGTTTTAAAAATATTTAGCGGAATATGACTGTTTCTAAGTTGTTAAAAAACAAAGGAAAAACCTTAATCAGGCTTTAATTAACATTGAGAATGTTATGAGACAGTTAATGAGGGCTAGTTTAAAGTGTGACACTGGAATAACTGAAGTCTATTTTTCTCTATTAATAATATAACAAGATCACACACGCACACACCTATATATAGTGCATGTAAAAACATCATGAAAATGTTGATTCCTTTCATGTATCACTTTCCCTTTGTATATTCCTTACCTTCTTAGACTATAAACAGTTTCATGCATAGGTATTATCATTATCTTCCCTGGTATATGAATAGTGCGAAGCCTAATGGACCCTGACCCTAATTGTGGCCCTTTTGGCGCTGTTTCAACCTAAATATTTAAAATAATCAGTATCCCGTTCTCAATAGGATGTAGATATAGTTCAGCTGGCTTTAATTTTCCTGATGAACTTCTAATCCTGTCATAGAAAGCCTGGTTTCCTGTGTTGTTAGGACAATATGAAATGTAATAATTGAAATTCAAGCTAGTTAACTGCAAATTCATGACACTTTTGGACTACTCTGATAATGACTTTGAATAAGGGGGGCTTCTTTGTTTGCTTGTTCATTTTAAATCACTAACCAAATTACTAGATGCTCTGATCACTTGTAATTTAAATTGCTGTTGATGACCCAGCAAATGAACTATGCAATCTTTAGAAGAGCCTATTGTTTTATGCAACCCTTTCTTGTGATATTAATATTGAAAATATTTTATTGAATAAATGTTGTGTGCAGATATTAAATATTAAATACAAGTTCTTTCTCTGAAGCTGAATGGCTGAGTCTGAAATAGGTCATGGCTGAAATTCTGTTGGTACCTGCCTGCTTATTCTAATGGCCTTTTCACCAGAGTATCTGGATGACTTCTAAGAATTTAGAAATGGAAATAACAAACAAGAGTAATCTCACTTTGGTAACTTTAGTATGGTCCCAAGTTGGTGTCTACTAAAATTAGAGAAGTTAGAGATGCTATCTTCTCAAGGTTTGGAGTTTTGATTCAGGGCAGAGTTGCTCACCTGTCATACAGTCTTTTCTAATGCTAACAGATAATCCCTGTAGGGAAGTCCAGTTATGTGAGCTGCAGTGGCAGAAGTGCCAAGCAGTACCCCTCCTATATCCAAACTCTTTTTAACAGTAGCCACAAATTCCCTGTTCTATTTTAGGAGGAGGGCTGATAAATCTCTTTTCTTACTATTTTTTCTCATATGATATACTTTGTGCCTCCTCCCGTATGTCTTATTTGCCAGTGATGAGTTACAAAGAAATTTTCTCTAGTAATGTCCCCAGTTGTAATGATATTTTATGTGTTTGGATGCTTCTTACCTCATCAGTTTTACAGTAGTAGAACCCAAAATTCATCTTTAACTCTTGTGGCATTTGGGCCTTTAAATCTCACAATATTCTATGGCTGATGTAGGCTAAGATCAGTAGATTGTTAGGAATTTTCTGTACTCAGTAATCCTCTGCAACAGTACAGAGAAGGAAATCATACCCCAAGGCTTGCTTCCATGTGAATTTGTGTAGATTAAAAGTCTCGTCTGCAAGATCAGGGCAAGTTAGAATTATCGGATTGTTTCTCTGAAAAGTGACTGTATTTATGTTGGTGGAAGAAAGACGGTGAGTGAGCTGGTTAATTTCTTCAAGTCAAGAAAATGTTCAGGTTTGTTTCAAGTTTAGGAATAGTCTAATTTTCAATCAGAGACAGGTGGGGAGATAGTGAGGATGGTTCTTGATTCATTCAAGATAGTTTCCTATTTCTTGAAAGTGAAAACTGTTAGGCACTGAACACTGTTTTTGCGAAACTGAACATGGTATATGTCCATTGTAATATCTAAAACTAGACACATTAATGGAAACAGTAACATAACAGGGAGTTCTTCCCTGACAGATATTCTAAATGTATTCATAGCTTTACACCACCCTCAATTTCTATGAAACTATAATCATTCATGCATCAGAGTTATTGCAGTGCACAGTTCATCTCTAATCATGTATTTGCTGCTTGATGTTCTCCCTAATTACTGTATTCCACTAGGCCTTGGCACATCTGTAGAGTGAAAGAAAATTTACATAGATTTTTTTCACGTTTCATTTTTTTTTTTTTTTTTTTTTTTTTTTTTTTTTTTTTTTTTTGGTATCAGTTATGTTTTCTCATGAGCCACTGGATGGCTCTGCAACCACCAGTATACTCAGAGTTAGGGAAATAGGTTTACTTAAGGGCCTTAATTACAGCTCAAAAGAAATGAGGATGAAACGCAGAGTACAGGGAAGCAGAAATTGTAGATCTTTTATTGCTGGCAACTGCTGTTTGGAGAAGATTCAGCAGTGGAACGTTGCCATGTCTGAAAGGGAAAGTGTGAAGTAAGTGAGGAAGTCTGTGCTCAGCTTGCTACAGTTTGCCCAGCAGTCCATCTGCAGGAAACAGGGAAAACAAAAAAAAACACCTATAAGCCAGAAGTCTTGAATTGGTACATATTTCCTGGTTTATTTTGGTTTGGAGCTGCCAGAGAAGGGGTCTGATTTGTCCCAGATCCCATGCTTTATCTCCTGGTTTAGGTTTTGTTGGAGACTGGCTGCAATGTCCATAATCTCTATAAGTGTAAAGACACTCTTCTTCAATAACTCCTATTTTTTTTCTTAAGACTGGTTACTGTACTTGATTCTTTAGATATTCATTAGATATTCCTTGACTTCTATTCTTGCCTGATTTCTTTGCATGGCCAAGTCAAAAGCATCACGTAATTTTAAAGAAAATCCAGGTGCTAATCTGTATTGTGATCTATCATATTATTTATTAATGTGGTATAATCAGTTATCTAGTACATTGTTTGTTCTTCTGGCCTAGAAATGTGTTTAAATTACATTTTGCTGGATTTACCTGTATACTCCCGTCTGCATTTGCAGTCATTCTTGACTTGTTCTTTTTTGTCAACTTTGTTTACATGACTTTCACAATGACATGAATACCATATCCAAGTTAATTAATTCAATATCTCCTTGTCTTGCATGCATATGCAAGGTACATTTTATACCCCATTAATACTTACTTCCAGCCTACTTGATTCTTTACTCATGCCACTATAAATAAGAAGTGAATCCACTGACTGGCAAATATTCCATTTCAATTGCAGTTTGCTGATCAGTTTTGTAAAATAGAGAGACCTTCCGTTACTATTTTTTTCTGAACTCTGTTTCCTGTTCCCTAGTAAAGCTAGAGACATGATGGAGAGGAAAAATATTTTAAATATGTTTCCAAGTAAAGCACTACATTTGGTACTAATGGTGGGACTATACAATTCAAAAATATTGTAGTACGGTCAGAGTGTTGTTGGAGCCATGATGGTCCAGGAAATGTCTGAAAGGCAAGAATTATATTCTTTACTGAACTAACTTTTATTGAGATAGGTGTTGGACAATCTTTGAGGCATCAGGTACCCTTCCTTTGACTGGGCACTTATCCAGCAGCTCTTTGAACTATACAGTAGGTTCAGTAAAAGATATCACAGGCAAAAAATTTGGGCACTCTCCAGGTGCTTTTGAAAATATTCATGAATCCCCAAAGTTTAATGAAATGTTGGAATTTGCAAGTCATTGTAGAAGCTGAGATATTTTAAGGAAGATATATTTAGGAAGGTATATTTAGGCACAACTGATTGTTTAATATTTCATATCAAAAGCATATCATTCATCTCTAATAATTTTTCAACAGTTAAAAATTGTTCGTCCAAACTGGCAAATGTTTATGAATAATGTGTGGATTCACAGAGCTATAGACAGGTTTGTAAACAATTAACAAAAGGCAAAAAAAAGCTAAGTTTGCAACAAATATATTCAGAATGAATAATTCAAGCAGAACTACATCCTAGGCAGTCAGCTTCATTCTGCATGTATCCAAGATATCTTTATTGCTTGATGGAAAATCATTCTATTAAAATAACCCATACATGTAGCAAAACATTTCTAGCTAGCCTTCCATCCCCTCTCAACCTGTTCTTTAACGTACACTAAAACCTTGTAATCATATCAAATATTGATGTTGGTGAGAATGACCTTTCTGAACTCTTGACTATTATAAACAGCATTTTCTCATATAGTTAATAAAGACGAATCATTGATGTAGCTGTCCCATCTTAGGTGCTCAGATACTACAGTGAGGGAAGCCATACAAATAGATCTTAGGAACATAGGAAAGAAGGACTGGAAGGAACTTCATGAGGTCATCTAGTTCCACCTTCTGCCCTAGGCAGGGTCACCCCTGACTAAACCAGGGATTTATGTCCATTCTGATCTTGAAAGTTTCCAAGAAAGGAGATTTAACAGCTTCTCTTGGAGGCCTGTTCCAATGTGTGACTACCCTCATAGTCAGAAGTCCCTCCTGATGTCCAATCTAAATTTCCTCTGCTGCAGCTTGAGTTCATTGCTCCTAGTCTTGTCCCTTACAGCCACAGGAAAAAGTCTGTCTCCATCCTCTTTAAAATCATCCTTCAGGTATTTGAAGACCATTACCAAATTCCTCCCTTGGTCTTCTCTTCCCCAGGGTAAATAGTTCCAGTCTTTCATTATAAGTCAGGCTTTACTGGCCTATAATCATTTGTGTTGCTCTCTATTAGACTTATTCGAATTTGTCCACAGTCTTGAAATGTGGGACCCAAAACTGCAACCAGTACTCCAAACGAGGCCTCACCAGTGCTGAATAGATTGGAAGAATCACTTATCTTGATTTGCAAGTGACATCCCTGTAAATACAATCCAGTCTATTTTGCAGCAAGAGCACACTGTTGGCTCTTATTCAGCTTATGGTCTATGATAACCCCTCTGCAGTAGTGCAGCCTAGCCAGTCGTTCTCAAGTCTGTATTTGTGCATGCCATCATTTCATCCCAAATGCAACACTTTGCATTTGTTAGTTAGGGACTGGGTCATGGGCACTCTTGCCTAGTGGTTAGGTACCTGAAGCACAGGTACAGTCCAGGTTGGTTTCCCAGGAACTGGGGGAAGGAGGGGCATGGAACTAGAACTGGAATTGGGAGCCAGAATGGAAAAAGGCAGATCAGGGTTGAAAGCAAGAACCAGAGACAGGATAAGGTGAGGGTTAACCAGGATCAGAAACCAAAAGTCAAAGCCAGAGGTCAAACCAGAATCAAGAGCAGAAAACAAGAATCAGGTTGCCAAGGATCCTTCAAGAATCAGAAGCTGGAACTGGAGTCAGGATTCAAAACCAGAGAACCAGCAAGGAAGCACACGGAGGGTCAGGAGCCATGAGGTTAAAATCCCCCATGAGAACCAGCTGTGCTATTTGAAAGCTTCTGTCAGTTGTTTAAAGAAGGCCTCATCCACCTCTTCCTTGTGGCTTGCAGAACTATAGCAGATGCCTACCATGATGCCCCCCTGATGCTCTCCCCTCTTACCTTTTACACAGAGGCTTACAATGGGCCTACCTTCCACTTTATACTGCACCACAAAATACATGTTCATCTCCTTTATATACATAGGGCAAAACCTACACCTTTTTTCCCAAGGCTATCATTCCTGAACAAGTTAAACCTGTCCATGATGGTACTCCAGTCATGTGGATTATCCCGTCACATCTCTATAATCTCAGTTGCTTCATAATTCCTTGATTATACTAGGACATCCAGTTCTTCCTGTTTATTTCCCAATTTCCCATGCTTCTTGCATAAGTATATAGATGTTTTAAGTATCTAATTGCTTGTCCCCTTTTCTGTGTGAGACACTGCTAATGGTTCTGCTTAGTTCCCTTCAGTAAGTTTTTATCCAGAACCCCAGGCTCTTTACACCCTTCTGGACTTTTGTCTCCAACCCCCAAGGGAACCTTGTTTAAAGTCCTCCTCACTAGGTTAGCAAGCCTGTATGCAAAGATATTCTTCCTTCTCCATCAGGTGGACCCATCTCTTCCCAGCAGTCCAAATTCTTGGAACACCACTCCATGTTTGCAGAAGTTAAAGCCCTGCTAGACAACACCATCTGTGCAGCCATATGTTGATCCCCAGGATGCAGCTGCTCCTGCTTTACCCTTGGCTGGAAAGCTCAATGAGAGTACCACTTGGGGCCCCTGTCCTGGTCACACTTGTAGCCAGAGCCATGTAGTCGCTTTTAATCTGCAGTATCATTATTGTCCATATGGATGAGCAGTATGGCATAGTATTCAGAGAGCTGGATGGGTCCAAGTATCCTTTCCATGTCATCTCAGATAGAAGTTCCTGGAAGACAGTGGACCTCTTGGGCCAGCAGGTATACCAGTTCTTCAGCTGGGCAGCCACAAGTTGAGAAGAGGAGTGCTCTTTGTTTTCTGGAGGTAACAAGTTGCCAGCTTCCACCTTCCTGAGTATCTCTGTCTTTTCTGTGTCCCAGTGCCTTCACAGGCTGCCACTCTTTCATTATGCTGGAGGTCTCCGTGCATTGAGCTGACAAAAGCCTCATGCTTGTGGATGATGCTATCATGATGACAGTTCTTTTATGACTATAGCTTCAGTCTTATCTGTCGCATGAAAATTTTCTGTTTAGGACTCTAGTCTTCATCCACAAAAATCCTGGTCAAGGCAGTCCTAACACAAAGGACAGTTTGGAGCCAGGGTAGAAGCTCAGCATAAGTATAAACTCCACAACATTTCTAATGGAGACATGTACAATACTCTACAAATATTTGAGGTGCTTTATTACAGTGAAGGCAGATTGGTTTAAGCTAAATACGCATATGGTCTGGCTCAGTCTTTTATCGTATTCTTCATAGATTTTAATATCATGCTGATTATTAAATTAACTGGGTACTTCCACACATTCATTAATGTGCCGTGATTATGGCACATTAAGTTCAGTACCTGTAATTACAGGTACTAACTTAATACACCACAATCAGCTGGCGCACACTTTGTTTGTGATGCTAATATGCAGTAGACTAATTCTACTGTGCATTAGCATGGTTTTTGCCTGCTGTGCTAACAGGCAGTAGAAAAAGTCTACTTTGCTGCTAGTGTCTTGTGTAAACATGCCCACTGAGCATCTCCCACTAGTCCATTAGGTGGCGAAAGTGTGTGTCTTTCACTTCTTTTAATCTCTCAGGAGGAAAAGGATATGAAATGGTTTGCTTTGTTTTGATAAGGAAATTAGTCATTTGTTTGTTTTTAAATATACAGGTTATCATGTATTTACTTGAGAGAAGGCAAAGTCAGACACACGCTTTGCATTTGGTGCAGAAAATGGCAAGGTTTGTGGTAGTATTTCATTCCTAGGGGAATTCATTCCACTGTTTTATACTGGCCACTGAAAAAGTTCTGTCTGCTATACAAATGAACTTCTACCTTAGTGCAGAGAGTTCGGTGTGTCTTTATCCAGGTACTTAGACAGCCTTTCAGATAATTGGGGCCCAGCCTATGGCGGGGCTGGAAGATAGGAA